GGCAGGACAGAGGTCCACAGTGGACAGGACAGAGGCCCACAGAGGACAGGACAGAGATCCACAGAGGGCAGGACAGAGGCCCACAGTGGACAGGACAGAGGTCCACAGAATGCAGGACAGAGGACCACAGAGGGCAGGACAGAGGTCCACAGCAGGCAGGACAGAGGTCCACAGCGGACAGGACAGAGGCCCACAGTGGATAGGACAGAGGCCCACAGAGGGCAGGACAGAGGCCCACAGTGGACAGGACATAGGCCCACAGAGGGCAGGACAGAGGCCCACAGTGGACAGGACAGAGGCCCACAGTGGACAGGACAGAGGCCCACAGTGGACAGGACAGAGGTCCACGGCGGGCTTCAACAAGGTACACAAAAGGTGGGAACGGCCTGTTCACTCATTGCCTGGGAGATGCCAAGGGAGGTCCAGCCCCGGCCCCAGAGCCCAGAGGCAGAGCAGGGGCAGTGTGACAAATCACAAGCTGGCTTTCAGGTGGCTACCTGGAGTCACTCGCCGGTCCTCAGGGAAAGCAAGTCAGACAGCCACACCCGAGTTGAAATGGGTGAAGCCCACACCACAAAACCAGAGGGGGGCCGCCTGGAGGAGCCCTAGGGGACGCCGCTGCTGCCGGTCACCAGTGTGAGCCAGACAGAGCTCTGCGGCCACAGACCCTGGGTATGCGTCCAAGGCCACCAACCCCATCAGCCCAGAGCGCATTAAGCATTATCCAAAGAACAGTTGCTGTGGTGCCAACCACAGACTCATTCCCTCACTTAACAGCACCTCGAGGATCCTGCCACACTGAATCCCACGAGGTCAGGACGCAGCGGCCCTGAGTGCAAATAAGCAAGGTCCTTRAGAAGCCAGTGTCACGGGGATGGCAAGTCTAGGTAACAGTCTCACATGGAACTAGAGCCACAGCAGGAYAGGTGCAGCAGGGAAGGCTGGTGGGGCAAAGGACAGGCGAGCCGCTGACACAAAGGGCCCCTGAGCCTCCCGCAGCACTGTCCTCTAAACTCCTGGTTGCAGGCATTAGTGTAGGAAAAGAAACACAGGAGCCAGAGGAGCAGGAGGAAGCCCTGGGCTCTCCTTCCACATCTGTCCCTGGGGCACAGCATGGAGGGCTAGAGGAAGCAGCCCACTCTCCTCCTCCCAGGAGACCTCTCTGAAACACCAAGAGGCCATCGTGCACTGCAGCTCTCCAGGAGGATTCGAAAGGCACCTCCCAGGAGTGCGTGGACGTATATGCAGCAGCTTGTCCAAAACTTAGGCAGCTGGCACATGGGTGGGGCCAGGTGGCCTGAGCATCCCTCCACCTGACTGCAGCTTTCTACTGGTCTCATCACCCAGAGCTTCTGGCGTCCACTTCTGTCGGACTTCATGGACATCTGGGCAACACCCTCGTGCACCAGGTCTCGGAGCAGGGAGAYAGGGAGTAAGAAGGCCCCGTGTGCTCTGAGGAAGGTTCCTCCAACACACGGCCCTCTCTGTGCATCGGGCAGCWGCCGTCACTGCTCCTCCCACACCCCTCCTCTAGGCTGGCCAAGCACGTGGAAAGACACAGACGGCTGCCGAGCCTGGTGGGAAGTGTTCCACGTCCCTGAGGCCTGGAACCTGTGTTATACTGTGGCTGACCACTAGGAAGTCTCAGTTCATGGAGCCAAGACCTGGCTTGGGAGACGCCCTGGACAGAAAGCTCTTTCTGGAAGCCTCTGCTCCACTGCAGCCTGACGGCCTGGCGCCCAGCCCCCCAGAGCCCACAGGACGCTCCTGCTCCAAGCAGCCCTCAGGGGCATCCCCGCCCACCAGGGACCTGCTTCTTCCTCTCACTCATTACTCTGGGTAAGCGAATCCACTGCCCCAACTCAAATTCAAAGGACGCCAAGATCACCAAAGCCCAAACCCATGAACACGCCCACTGACAGGGCCAGCACAGCTGTGCCCGGAGACCTGGCCCCCAGAGGGCACAGTCATGAGGCAGCAGTGAGGGCAACTTGGCAAAAAGCAGCCCCACCTAAGATGTCCTCATCCCACATTACCAGAGAAGGCTCAAGGGTCCAAAACACACTTAAACTGTYTGGGTTTTAAAAGAAAACCACATCTTTGGGTCATTTTCTGCGATGCCGAGGGAAAGAGTGAATCATGTCACTGGTGAGTGAGGCAACAGCGGGGACTCGTGGGACACACTCCAAATGCCCAMGGAAGTGGACAGCACAGAACTGGTGCCCGGGCTGCAGCAGATGGCCTCCCAGGAGGTAGAATGAGGGCAGCRGTCAGAGTGCCAGGCACAGGAAGAGGAATAGAGCACCCCGGCTGCTGGACTTCCGTGCTGTGTGGTCCTGAGGGCAGGGGTGGCCCTGGGCTCTTTAAGAGGGAAAAAGTGGACTCAAATGCTAATATTGATTTTTGATGAATAAAATTCTTTTCTCCAAAGCTGACATTTGGAAATGCACTTTCAGTGCCTTCAGGTGGACAGTGAACAAAGTCCTGGGCTTGGGGRCCCATCTGGCACCATCTCCTTCACAGGAGCAGGGACGCAGCCTGAGGGCTAGGGAGACTGGCCCAGGCACGCAGGGTGAGCTGGGCTGGGTCCCAGCCCTCACCGGTGCCCTGGCCTCCTCCTCCCCGACACAGCGTCCCTCACCCCATGCTGTGCCGCCCTCCCGTCCCCACAGGCCCCTGCCTGTGCACTACCTCCTGGGCCACCTAAGTGAGCCCCCCAGGCTGGACGAGCCCAGGGCTCACGCTCACAGTCTGCTTCCGCCCTTCATCCCCTCGTTCAGTCATCCCACAAATCGCTGCAAGGGCCAGGACCCTGCTAGGTACAAGGGCTACAGCAAAGCAGACCAGTCCCCTCCCTTGAGGAGTCCACAGCTTAGCAGGGGCCGAGACAATAACAAAATAGTGACAAGTTAAATACACAGCTACACAGGTGCTGGGGAGGGACAGACAGGAAAATGCCTGAAACTGGATCTGAGGCTGGGCAGTGGCTGACTGGAGGGACCATGGAACATTCTAGAGCAAGAAAACTTGAGGAAAGGGGGGCAGGGATGAGGCTGAGGCAGGGAGCACAGTCCAGGGGTGGACAACAGAGTCGTCCTGGGCCCGCCACCCACCTGGTCCACTGGCACCTCCACCTGCACGTCCTGGTCCTCCTTGACGTCCGGTGCCCCTTGGGTGTCCCTGGTGGGCTTCTGGGCTCTATACACATCACCTTGTGAGGGAAGACGACACAGATGGGCTTTCTCAACCCGGCAGAAACCGAGGCCACGGGACATCTCCTAACCAGACCAGCTACGAAGCACAGCACCCGGGGCTTCCAGCTGGCAGGAGCCCAGCCGCCCAGCTCAGGGGCCCCGTTTCTGCAGAGTCTGTCTATGTCTCTACTCCTGAAGGTCCTGGCCTGAGAAGGCTCGGGCACACTACACACCCACCACGGCAGACCGTCCAGCTCACGGTCAGCTAAGACGAACATGTGCCAAGCCTGTGTTCAGTTGATTCCGATAGAAATAAATAAATAAGAAATCATAGAAATACTTCCAGGAAATAAAGCCCTATTAGTTCAAAATGTATTCATGATCTGGGTTTGAACGGCTAGGCGCTACTCACCTTTAACGGACTGCTAGAAGTCGCTCTGATTATCACTATAATTAGATGTCTTAAACACTTTTAAAATTCCAAGGTTCTTGAAAAATGTACCCTCACCCTGATCAGAGGCAACAGATGAGAACAGAAGTGGAATGTCCTGGCCTGGCCTTCAGCACCCGCAAAGTGAGCACGGCCACTGGTGGGTGCAGTTATCCAGAAGGGAAGCTCCCTTCAGTCAAAGCCCTGGCCGGGCCCCCCTCACCTGGCCTGCTCTTGTCCTTCTCCTCCCTTCCCAGCCTTGGCCCAGAGGAACTGCCCCAGGGCTTGAGCTGGAGGGCCCTCTCCCATGGGAGGGGCGTGGGAACAAGGCAGGGAAGTAACACCCACCCCACGTTCAGGGTTCCGGTCCTCTTCCACGTGTCTGGTAACTAACACTTGCAGCAACCCTGCAGTGGACACGCCCACCCCGGGCGAGCAGTTTACCCATAGTTACACCTGCAGTAAGGGCCACAGCTCGAATCTGAGCTCCAAAGGCCAATCCTGCCATGGGGCTTCCCCTGTATGGGGAAAAAACAGACTTCACATGCAGTGACCAAGTCCTCATTGTCCTCAATGTGTGAGGAGATGTCAGGGGAGCAGGTCCAGGGCCCTGGATCCGAGGCCAAGCCAGGCTCTCGGGTCTTGTTGGAGCAGGTCCTCTGCCTCCCTGGCACTCTCCACGGGGACAGACAGATCTCACCAACACAGGTGCCCAACCAGCCACATCGTGGGCCTTCACTGTGGGACAAGGAGGCCAGCAAGAAAAAGGGAGTGAGGGAATCTAGGGAAATGAAGCTGCCCACACAGAGGAAGCTGGGAAATAATCAGGGCAGAAGACCCCTGGCTGTGCTGGACCGAGACAGAGCCCCAGGAGAAGGCTTCCAGAAAGACAGCTTCCAAGACGGTCCAGATGCTGCAGATGCCCCTGCTGCCCATCTCCTCCACAACCAGCCACGGGGCCTTCTCCCTGCGAAGTCTCCTCCGTGTGGGCAGGACCTGCCCATCACCCACAGGAGCCCAGCAAGGGCTCAGGGAGGGTAGGAGAGCTGGCAAAGCAAGGGCGTGGCTAGAACCAGTTGGAACCAAGTCTGGGTCATCCTCTACCCTGCGCCCATCCTCAGAAGGTGTGTGTGCACAACAGGTGGCTTTTGTGTCCTGTTTCTCTCTCCTTTCTGTCACTGGTCCTCTCGGGGAGGACAGACAGACCCTGACAAGGCTGACTTTAAACCTACACTTGTCCTCCCTCTGCAGCCTGGGGACTGTGGCTGTGCTCCAACAGGGTCCTTCCAGCGAACATTCAGTCTAATCAGAGGGTTACACACCAAGAGAGATTCTGCCACATACAATCCGTCCCAAGCACACACGCGCACACACTCTGCCAGGCCGGCAGCCCCCAGCCCGGCTGCAGCACAGTGAGGTGCCCATTACCTGTGCCCATTTGGACTAGAGGGTCTGCCAGCGGTTTCTTCTTTCCTTGTTTGGCGTAGTAAACAGAATCCTGAGTTCTAGGTGGTACGCTCTCATCTTTAGGAGGCTCTTTTTCTTTAGAAGTCACCTAAAGTGCAAATTAAAAACAAAGCTGTCTCAGGAGCAGAAGCGCCATGCCATAGGGTCCCTGCAGGGAGGCCCCAGCAGGAGGCCAGGACTTAGAGCCCCTCCTCACACCTTCCACTCTCCTCCTTCCTGTCCAGTCCACAAAGAATGGAAACCCGTTCACTTTCCCCCTCCCTGCAGTGTCTCTGGGGGACAGGTCAATGACCTCTCCAAGTCAGGTGGCCTTGCCAACCCCTGGGGGGAGGGGGAGGGGGATGACGGGGTGAAGGACACTGTGAAACCTGGTAAAAACCATGACTCAGGCACCACCCCGCCTCTGCTCCTGCTGGACCACGTGCTCCGTGGGCCTGGAAACGCCCAGCGTGGCTTTCTTTCTGGCAACAATAAAGGGGAGCTCAGGTTTTTTTTAAAAAAATCTGTTTAGAAGGACTGGGGCTGTGGCTCAGTGGCAGAGCACTTGCCTCGCACAGGTGAGGCACTGGGTTCGATCCTCAGCACCACATAAAAGTAAATGAATAAATAAAGAGATTATCTTAAAAAAATCTGTTGAGAATAACAGAGGAGAACTACATCAGAGGAGAGATGAAATTGATTCCCAGGCACCTCCCATGGCATCTTACTCTACAAGTTGTCTGTATTTTAAGATTTTCCTTTTTTAATCTTTCACACTGTCACTTAATAAGTGTCAAACTAAAACCACCCACCTCGCACAACTAGACTGCTCTATACCATCAAACCACCTAGACCTTCTCCCCTCACAGAAAGGGACGGAGGAAGGCGTCCACCAGCCTGATACCAGAGACCCCGCCTTGCAACCCTGCCTGGGGCGGCCTTCCACCACGGAGACAGGCGTGCTCCCCAAGAGTGCTCGGAACCCACTCCTTCTGCTGCAGGGCCCTCTGCCCTGGTGCACCTCTGAAATCAGTGTGAGCTCTATTGACGGAGGGGACAGGCACGCTGCAATGTCATTCATCTTTCTCCCCATTACGAACACTTTCAGAAAATAAGCCTGAAAAGTGGTAGATTTATTTCTCTTTAGAGTTTTAAAGACAATTATTCTTCTCAGGAGCCTGATTCAACCAATCTAGCTAAGATTTAATGCCACTGTAACAGATTATCTCACACTGGCCACCTGGGAGCCACCCTAGGAGAAGAGGGATGAATCACACATTTGTCAAATTGAAGAACAGTAATGACCTCCACAGGGTCAGTCACCAAGTGGGAGAGGAACAGTGACAACCTCTTTCAGGGTCAGTCCACCAGGTGGAAGAAGGACAGGGACGACCCCCTCACTCAGCCACCAGGAGGGAGGGGGACAGGGACAACCTCCTCAGTCAGTCCACTCCAGTAAGAGAGGAAGCAGGTGGCAGCAGGAGGGTCCAGCAGGATCCCTCCCAGCTGGGTCAAGGTCTTCCATCCACCATCCAGTCCCTGCTTAGCCACCTGTGAAGCAGAAGACCGCTGCCCCTCGGCTGCTCGCTGCTCCCTGGACCTGGAGAGATCCCTGCTGCTGTTAGCCGGCAGCACTGAGCCCAAGCACCTACTGCACAGTGACCCTCATGGTTAGGCTGGGCTTCAGAGTGGGCTCTGTCTCTTCTCAGTGCTTCTGACCTCGTCACACACCCTTGATTTTTATGATTCATCTCCATTTCATTTTCAGCATTCTGCTCTATGCCCAAAGAAGTGTTTAACAGTCGTGTCCTGATTGTAGATGTGATGTAAATGAAAGGCTTATTAAAATGTACTGACTTCTTTACAGAGGCTTGCACCATAAAATACCCATTTTAATATATGGATGCCCTTGGAACATTTCTTGAATTAGCCTTACCCCCTTGAAAGGTAATAGATCTAAAATCACAAATCAAGCAGCTGCTATGAAGCTGAAGCTGACAGAACAGAACAGGGGAAGCTTGGATCAGCTCCTGTCACTGGACTGGGAGGCTCGTGCTGACTGGGCTTCCCAGACATTGCCCAGCCGTAAAGGCTGCTCTCCAGGGCGTGAGCATCTGAATCAAGCACAGGGTTGGACCATCAGATACTAGAGGCTGTCGAGAAGTGCGTCCAGATGAGATGAGGGAAAGGCACTCATCTTGCTGTTGTCACCGTCCACTTCCTCACACACCATGGCCACGTAGGTCTCCCCATGGTCCCCAGGATTTCCCTTCTCGTTTCTTTGGATCAAGATGCTATGAGTCACAGAGCTCATGGTTACTTATGAACCTTTAAAAAAGAAACAACGCTGCCATTTAGCCATGTCACAGCGCCTGTCATCACCTACGATGGAAAAGCCCTGGAGAACCAGGCAGCACAGATCTTATCACCGATTGCACTGGAACTAAAAGGAAAAGTAGAACACAATGGGAGTTCATCGTGAAACTCAACCTGCGCAGAGCCACCCTGGCCCCTCCCTCCATCAGAGGCACAGCAAAAGGAGCGGCTGTACCAGCTGACCCACGGCAAGTGACAGCGGCAACACTTCCCATGATTGCCAGGATGCCATCGGCATAAGACCAACCTTGTCTCAGAGATGCTGAGCTGCCAACAGTCAGGGTCTCGGGTCGGCGGCTCTGCTCCACCCGCAGCTCTCCGGGAAGGCGGCAGCTGCCCAGGCCCCGTCCCTCCCGACCGCTTTCCTGTTTTCAGTCCACACACGTTATTCTGTCATCAGTGGTAGCAATCACCAAGTGCACCCTCCTTTTCACTCCCTCATTCAAATTTGGATTGAGCATTACCTGTATACCCAGACTGTGACCCAGGCCCTGCCTGCCTCTCCACCTCCCGCCCTCACCAGCCACCCTCGTGGTACCTCCCACCCAGCATCTTGGTTTTCCTGACTCTATTGGGCAGTGGTGATGGGGTGGCTGATGGCAGCTCTGGAGGTTAAACCGTTAGTAAAGAGACGCTGCTGACCTGTCTGAACTGCAGAGGTGGAGGAGTTGATGCCAGGTCAGGGTGCCCCTGGGCTGGGGCTCAGTGAACGGGCTTCAGTGGACTGAGGTGGGGCGAGGAGCGTCAGGTCACAGGCTCATCCACACCTGCTGCTCCAACAGCAGGACTCACGCTGGACTCATCCCGAGGTCCCCAGCAACACGCAGGGCCCTGCAGTGGGACCCCGCAGTGCCTCCATTCAAGTCTGTGGTCACTGGTCCAAAGCTCTGTTATGCTTGTGAAGTGGCCACAGAAAAGTCAAGGAAGAGCCTCTGCTTTGTACTCTAGCTACATTCTTTAAGGACAATTTGCAAATTTGAAATAAATTCCATGCCCAATTCAACAGAGCACCACAGCTGACCACCTGCAGACCTGCACAGCCCTCCCACTCCACAGAGGGTCACTGTATTACAGGGCTCTCCTGGTGACCACCTGAGGACCTCAGAATGCACAGGCGCAGGACCTGCACAGCCCTCACGCTCCACAGAGGGTCACTGTATTACAGGACACTCTTGGTGACCACCTGCGGACCTGCACAGCCCTCATGCTCCCAAAAGGTATTTGTGTCACAGGGCTCTCCTGGTGACCACCTGGGGACCTGCACAGTCTTCACACACTCCCGGAGGGCATTTGTTACAGGGCTCTCCTGGGCTTCTAGCACTTACTAATTCCTTTTCTTCTCCATAAAGATGTTGAGGTGATTCACACAAAAAGTAGATTTTTAAAAAATGTTAAATAAGTTAGAAACAAAATCTGGCAAAAGCAAGTAAAGAAACAAATTGCTTTGTGGTGACAAAGTCACTGCAACCCATCCCAAAGCCAGCCTCAGGGAAGTCTGCAAGAAAAGGCCTCACACTCAGAGATCACCCACCCCCCCTCAGGTGAGACAGGAGTGCATGGTCCTGAGGCCACACCACATGGGCTTTTGTACGAGCAACATGAAGAACGTCAGGTCCCCCGACAGCCATCTTACCATAAATGCAGAGCTCTGACACGTGCCCTTGGTTTTCTTCCAGAACCTTTCATTCTCAGAACAAAAGGTCCTTGCCATACTGCTATATATTCCTGTTAAGTTTACTTTATGAAGAGTTTTCCATGATAGATTTGATTTTCATAAAATAACACATTCTTGCATCATAGTTTATACCATGTTTTGTCTTCTTTCTGCATAAAGATTCCTAAAGGCTAAATATCATTACCCAAACCTGTAAAGTTTCCAGCCACAGATTTCTAGAAGAGAGAGAAAAGAGAAACAGGCAACACCAGAATGAACATGTCTCAATTCAGACCAAGTAAGCACTGAATAAAAGGGAAGCAAAATCACGTCGCCACCTGAAGAATCCAAAGTCAGAACCACAAAATGAGCACGGGTGCGAGGAGCAGGAAGCCTCGGAACTGGCCGGGGGTTCAGCGGCCTGGTGAGTCGGCAGGTGCTCGAAGCTGCCGTAAGGTGGAGTGTGGGACTCTGAAGGTCACACCAGCCAAGCTGAACAGCAGCCATCCTTCAAGACCCAGGCCCCAAAGACAGACAGACACTTCTCTAAAGAAGAAACCCAAATGGCCAATAAGTATGTGAAAAAATGTCAACCTCCCTGGCCATCAGGGAGATGCTCATCAAAAGTACACTGAGACTTCATGTCACTCCCTTGGGAACAGCAGCCACCAAGAGCTGCACAGCCCTCATGCTGTGACAGTAAGTTCTGGGGAGGCTTTTGGGGAAGGAACACTTGAGCGCTGTGTGGGGACTGCAGACCAGGGCGACCACGGTGGGGAGAGTCTCAAAAGACTAGCAAGGGAACCCCAGATGACCCAGCTGCCCACCCCTCCGTGTTTACCCAGAGAACTCGAGTGGGCTCACGGTAGCGATGCCCACACATCAGCCCACAGGAGTCCAGGTCACAACAGCCAGGCTGTGGAACCAGCCCAGGTGCCCTTGGTAGATGAACRGACAAGGCATGGGGCACATATCCACAGTGGAGTTGTACTTGGCCTTGAAGAAGAGTGGAAGTGTGGCATTTGCCGTGACGTGGAAGGAAGTGGAGACTATTAGGCTCAGACCCAGAGAGTCAAGGGTTGGGTTCTTCCCTCAGGCAGAAGCTGCAGCTAAGTAGGGAGAAAAGGGAGGAGTGGTATCAGAAGGTTGGAGGGAGATCTGGGAGTAGAAGAAAGTGAGGCAGAGCAGGAGGGAGGGAGGGGAATGAGAGAGAATCTGACAGGCCGTGAGGGCCGGTGTTAATATACCCAGTGAATCCACCTTTACGTATAGCTACAGGGCACCAAATAAGATCACACCAGTAAATAAACAGAAGGAAGATGAGTAGGGGAAAGAGAGAGGAGGAGGGAGGAGGGGAGGGAAAGAGGAGGCGCCAGGACTGACATGGAGGGCACGTACGGATCTGTCAGAATGAGCCCATGCACACAGTCGTACTTCATGCACAACATCACATGTAATTCACTCATCAAAGCACACTAAAAAATGAGCGCCCAACACTGTCCACACCAGAGGGTGAAATGCTGGCCAAGCCAGTAGAGGAGAGCTCCACAGGCCCAGGACCCTGCGTGTGCACAATCCAGAACACCACGGAGCGTCTGCCCTCTTGCTCTGTGATCTGAGCTCAGCTCCCATCCCCACACACCTCCACGATGCCCCCATACACCGTGATCTGTGCATAGGCTCCCTAGCACACGCTCCACCAGGAGCCACGTCACATGCTCCTCTACCCAGCTGGGCAAAGTGCATGCCAGCACAGAGCACGCCTATGGCTCTGGGCTCACGGATCGTCATTCAGCCACCCATCCCACAAACATTACTGAAATGCATTCCTCAGAGAGAGGAGGTCCTTCAACTCAAGGAGCCATATAACAGCAGTGAATTCACAGAAAACCTGTGTTACCAAAACTAGTCAAGGACAACGCCAGAAAGAAATGTAGGCTAATCTCACTTATAAACCAAGATCAAAATCCCCTAACAAAATTTAGCAAAATACAGTCAGGAAAACATTTTTAGAGGTAACATTGTCCGCAGATGAGCATCGGGTCTGGAATGTGGTGGTGAGTTCAGCGTGAGAAGTCAGGTGCCACAGCAGCAAGCTGAGCTACTTCAGGGCAAGGACAGAGACAGCCCAGTCAAGCTCATCCACGGTGGGATGGACACAGTGGTAGTCACAGTGCTGGTCAGACAGTGAGGAGGTCAATGGCATTTGCAAGAAAGCAGCTAAAGTGGTGCCTGTGAGATCTGAATTGCCCAGGACAGAGGAAGCCAAGGCCCCCCACGCCCTTGGGTACTGGCCAAGAAGAGCCCAACACAGTTGGGCCAGAGTGTTACAGTAGGGAGGCCTGGGAGCCAGTGCGCTGGACACAGAGACCCAACAGCTCTGTCAAATAAACAGTATCAGCAACAGAACTGCAAAACCCAGTTTCCTCACGGTGGCCAGGGACACACAATCGAGCCAGGTCGTGAGAATGGTGAGGCCTCCTTCCTCCCCAGACACGCTTTCTCATGCTTTCAGCTGCAGCAGCTTGTGTGTGTAGACACTCACACACCCCTCCGCGCCTCACTCTGCGTCACCGCTGCCTGTGACGTCCTCCCCACACCCTCCAGGGTCCGAGGGTGCCTCCGTTTCTCTCCTACCTGTCCCATGAGACTGCATGTCTTATCACAAATACCTGCAGGTGGCTCCAGTCTGACCAGCTCCATGTCTGGACCTCACTTCCCCTTCCCGATCACAGGAGGGTGTGACTCCTCTTTAGGGTCTGGTGCTAATACTGTGCCCCTAAGGCTCAGTTTACAGTTCAGGGCCTGCATGTGCCCTGTCCTTGCCAGTGCCAGAAGATACCAAATCAGCAACAGTGGTCACCTCTCCTCTTAAAGATCACTTACCTTCTTCTTTTTCTGCAGGTGTCTTTCCATGTCTGAGTACTTTCTGAAAGACAAAAGGCAGCTTGTAGTGTCTATGCTCAACCCATTCTCGCCGACCACAGGCTGCAGCCTGGTGGGGGGGGGGGGGGGCAGCGGGGCAAGAGCGCAGCCTGTGGTCCATGCAGAACAAGGGCTCAGGCATCCACAGTTTCCCAGCACGGGAGCAGAACGGGCCTGGTCCTGCTTTGCCTGCTGCCTTGGGGTCCCTGAAAGTGAGATGGCTCTTATCAGGTGGCTTTGGCCAAGGCTGGCACCCAAAGGGGCTTCTGTCTGGGGTTTGTGGTGGGGAGCCTGGCATGTGGCGCTCCTACAAATGCAGCTCCTCTTGCAGCCCTCACAACTCCCGGGGGAAGCGACAGCCTCCCTGTTCTTGGAGGAGCCCAGGCTGAGAGGAGCAGGCCTCCCTCCCTGTCCACAGCCGGCCTGCAGCAGGGCCCGCCGACCCCATCTGCCTCACTCTGCACTCGACCTCTTGCACTGGGTGGTAGCTGTGCACACAGGAACCGCCTCCCCAAGGGCTCACAGAGCGGTTCCTGCACCTGCTTGTCCTGTGGAATGGCCCTGTCCCTCGGCCACTGGGCAGCCCCTGTTTCTCCTGGGCCTCAACCTCTTTGTTGAGGGAAAGATACTTAAGCCCCTGCTGGAGACTGTGAAGAATGGTGATGGCAACCTGACCCGTGAAGAATCTGTATCACCAGAACAGCACATTTCACTGTGGAAAAACAGCCAGCAGCTGAGGTGGACATACTCAGAAGAAGCAGTGGGGAGAGGGGAGATTTTACCAAAGCTCAGGAAGCAAAGACTTAAAATGGACTCACTCTTGGACCTCGATGGGAACGTTTGGGGACCTCCAGTATGGAAAGCTTTTGAAATTCTCCAGTCCTGCAGCAACATAGAATTGACTGTCTTGCAAGTCCTGTGAGTTGTCCAGAAGATGTCCATCCAAAGTAAATAATCTGCAAATGCAGAAAGAAGCAGGCTAGAGATGGTAAGACCAGCGCACAGGGCGTGGTGTTTTCCCCTGAGACACGACTAACTTGGGCACTACCGAGAACCAGCCCTCACAAGCAAGCCCCGCAGTGGAAGGTGAGCCCCAAGCTCTGCTCTTCCAGACAGGCACGCTGCTGGCTCCAGACTTCTAATTATCCACCAGTGCTCAGAGGCTCTCAACAACACGCTAAGCTCTTGTTTGGTATTCAATTAATTTTAACTAATAACAGCTAAAGTTAATACAAATTGGCCTAATTGTTACAACAATACTTGGCAAACAAACCAGCATTTCCTGCAAATAATGTGCCTTTTCATCAGCACCAAAAGGCTCCTCTGAGCCTACCTCTTGTTTGGTCCTCATTCACTAGTTCATCTGTTTAAGAAAGAGTCCACTCGTCCATATGCATAGGCAACGGGGTAGTCATCATTAGGGCAAAAGGAAGAAAGTCATTGCTTCTCCACAGTCGGGATGGCAAACACCCTGCACAGCACCCAGACGGGAGGGGTGACACGCTGGGCCACTGCGACAGCTCAGGTCACCCATGTGCTGAAGGCCTGTCCCAGCCTGTGCCCTGTGAAGAGCTGGTGGAGCCTTTAAGTGGAAGGCCTAGGGCAGGGACACTGGGCCCAACTGGAGGGGGATGTTGGGACTCTGGCCCTTCCTCTCTGCTTGACCACCATGATGTGAGCAGCTTCCTCTGCCACAAACTGCCACCATGAGGAGCTGCCTCCACACAGGCCCAGGACCAAGGGGGTCAACCAAGCATGAACTGCAACTTCCAAAACTGTCAGCCAAAAATCAGCCTTTTCCCTTATTAAGCTGGTTATCTCAGGTTATTTTGTTACAGTAATAGAAAGCTGGCGGTCAGAGGGTCCAAGACGAGCCTGGTCAGACTCAGTGTAACCTTCAAAGGTCTAAGAATTCCCAGTGAGGTTTGAAAAGTGGGCAAGATTTCATCACGTGAGGTGTATGGAAGCCATCTGGGCCAGAAGGAGGGAATGTGCAGAAAAGTCAGACAAGAGGAGGCTGCCGTCCAGGGGACACTGGCTGAAGGGCAGGTTGTAAAGAGCCTCCATGTCCAGGGAGAGAGTCAATGGTTAGTTAGACGGACAGCAACACTTTCTGTGGAAGAGTGGGTGGCAGCCATGTCACAGCCACAGCAAGCTGTTGTCGTGGGCAGCTGGGACACCAGGAAGGGCCTCCAAGAGTGAGGAGAGGCACCCACTGTGAGGCTGTGAGTCAGAGCTCAGAATCAGGGCTGCACCTGAGTGGAGGAGAAGGATACGGGATACAAGAAGAGCTGGAGGCCACAGAGCTCGACATCACCCCACCACACACCAGATCACTGAGGGGCCTGTGAAGCAGAGGAGCCAATCACCCAGGTGCTACGAACCAGTAAGTCTAAGAGGAGATCAGCAAGTTCCCAGACACTGAGGCTCTGGGGCCCCTTCTGAGATCTGCAATGTTAGATCAGGCCTAGAAGAAGGACAGAGAGACAGAATCAGGACAGGAGGAGACAGGAGGAAGACTAGGGGACAGCATCAGGACAGGAGGAGACAGGAGGAAGCCCAGGGGACAGCGTCAGGACAGGAGGGGACAGGAGGAAGCTCAGGGGACAGCGTGAGGACAGGGAGAGACAGCAGAAATCCCAGGGGACAGCATCAGGACAGGAGGAGACAGGAGGAAGACTAGGGGACAGCATCAGGACAGGAGGAGACAGGAGGAAGCCCAGGGGACAGCAT